AGCATCTTGTTAACTGCTAAACGTACGTCAATTAACACCTTGACTGTCATGGTGATTTTAAGTAGTTCCACAAACAATAAAATATTATTTTATTTCTTGAATTTGAATTGATTTTTAAAATAATATTTTTAGTTTGCTTTTTAATAAATTTTCTGTTCATGGAGGCCAGTATCGAATTGATTTTTTTCTTTTCCCAGAAACCATTTATCGATATAAGTACTAATATATTCCGAGCTTAATCGTAGCTCTGCACAAAAATGGCAAGTATACACAGGCCGAGATAACTCGCAGTTGACGTCCTAGAAAAGAACGCAAACTTCGAGTTATCTTATAGTTGACAATCAACGTGTTAAGGCAAAAGTGTGGATATCAAGGCTTGTTGGCAACTAGCAAAGATATTTTACAATTGTCAACTGTTCGTGCTATTTTATAATTACTTTATCACTGCTCTTAGAATGAAATTTTGGTTTAATAAAGTTGCCAGTAAGCCAATTAAGCTTTCAAGCAGTATTCTAATTTATAAGGTAGCTTCGAGAGCAAAAGTACAAAACAAATTCTGTACATTTAAGTTTACCGAACAAATGTTTTTCGTAATAGATTTATACTGGTATTATCTGATACGAGTTTATTCATCATTATCACTAAAATTGCTTTATTAGCGCTATGAGAAACATTTATAAACTCGCTCGCCGAAGCATATTGGACTCAGATGGAACCTTAAAAAATTATTATATAATTAGCATAAAACAAAAAACGTTTATTAGGATACAAATACATTTACAAACACAAATAGGGCATTCATTTTTCGGATAATTCTGAAACGTCTTTACATTTGTTTCATTTAACCGAAATCGGACAATTGAAAATCATAAAATATCTTTCCTAGTTGGAAAGTCGGGAGTGCAATATGCTTTAGATAGCCACAAAATCAGAAAGAATGTTGATAAATTAATCTTATATACTAAGTGACATATAAATCCGAACACCCAGTTTAAATGGTTTTGTTTTAATAAAATTTTGTATAAGTACTTAATGAAGCATAATAAGTAAATGATAAAAATTTCAAAATGATTGCACTGCTTTAAAGCCCTTTGACCTTAAATAATGTGTGGACGCACCCTGATGTGCTACGCATTCTCCAACGCGCCCAGGCATGCTTCTGATCAGGTGGTCAATGTCCTCCTGTGGTATCTCATTCCAGGCAACCACCAACTCCTCTCGAAGTGCTTCTAGAGTCTGAGGAGGACGTTGCAAATTGAGCAATCTCCTACCCATCATATCCCACACGTGCTCAATTGGGGATAAGCCGGGAGATCTTGGTGGCCATGGTAACAATGTGACATCATTATGTTGACAGAAGTCTATTGTGACTCTTGCAACATGTGGTCGGGCATTATCTTGTTGGAAAGTTGGATCTGCCAGGGTGTCAAGATAGGGTGAAAGATGGGGTTCTAGAACTTCGTGGATATAACGCTGCGCGTTCATGTTACCTCTGATGAAGATTAAAGGTGACCTGGAACCATAAGCTATAGCACCCCAAACCATAACTCCAACAGTGTGATGAACATGTCTTTCAACAAAAAACTGTGGATTCCTCCTTCCACCACGTCGCCTTCTAACCCTGGCACGACCATCGTGCATGCCTAAACAAAATCGAGACTCGTCACTAAAGACAATACTGTTCCATTTCTGATCCCAGAGTGACCGTTGTCTGCATCACTCAAGGCGATTACGTCGGTGTTCTCGAGTTAAAGGGAGGATCCAGTGTGGCCGGTATGAAAACAAGCCAAAACTTCTCATTCGTCGGTAAACACTTTGCATGCCAATAGGTCTTCCGTGTTCTGCAAACCATTCATTTGCAATGGACCTGGTAGTGGAGAAACGGTCCCTTAAGGCCAATAATCGTAGGCGGCGATCTTCACGGTCTGTTGTTCTACGGCGGTGTCCAATTCCCCGTTGCTCTTTGCGTACGGCCTTCTCAAAGCCATGCCTGACAACACCTAACCACAGTGTCTACACTTCTTTGCATTCTAACTGCAATTGCTCGAAAAGAAAGTCCAGCTTCCCGAAGTGCCACTATACGGCCCCTATCAAACTCACTAAGTTGACGAAATCGTACAGGTCTCCGTACTCTAGGCATCGTAACCGATCGTAAAGGATGTCAAGAACCAAAATCCGCCAACGTTGATTCTTTACTGCGGCTGAAATATTCATTTTTAGAGCGTTAGTGAATTAAAAAAAAAGCAGTATAAAAACCGGAATATCCAACTGATAAGGCTGAGAATTTTTTCACTTGTTATTTACAGTAAGATAAATACATTCACCAACTTTTATTAAAATAAAACCATTTAAACTGGGTGTTCGGATTTATATGTCACTTAGTGTAATTGTTCCACAGAGCGCTAATCAAAAAGCAGTAAAATTTCGAGAGACAGTTTTGTATTTTTGATCCAAGAAGATCCTAACGAATACCTCATAAGGCAAAACACTTCTTAAAAGCTTAATTGTCTTGCTGGTAATTATATTAAAACATGATTGCATTCCAGGAGCAATAATAAAGCAATTATAAAATAAAATAGCTCAGACAGTCGAACATTTTAAAATATATTTGCTAATTAGGCACTGATAAGCAGTTATCAAAATAATATATCATATCCTCCAGCCGCCATTTTGAAATTTTCAATTGTTGTTAGAACATGGTATTTATGAGTGAACTTGATCATCTCAAATTTAGGCTTGCCAGCTTCACCGGTTCAAAAAATAATCTGGGGGCCTTTCTGAAAAGCACTGTACTATATATGTATATATATATATATAGCATCCGCCTTTTGTTGGGTACTTCGACATAACATATCTTGATAAATAACACCATCTGAAGTGATTTGGCAACATAGTACACACTTTACAAATTTTCGTTCCATGCATCGACACTGACACCACCAACTTTCTGTGACTTGTCAAATGTTTCATCCTACTTGTGATCCTTTGCCCACCATCTTGTGCAGCATCAGATGGTTCACGGTGTAACTTTAACTTTTGTTTTTAAATACTGTTAATTTATTCCTGACATACAGCTGTGTGTAGTTTATATTAACTTTGACGAATGTACCATGTATCCAGCATTCACCAGGTTACTGGTTGTTTCCCTCAACCTAAACGTTAATAGCATTTAGCAGCAATCTCACATACGACTGTTAGTTAATTTAAAATCATTTTACACTATAGTTGCTATTTCTTCTCAATATTATTGTAGCTCCTGATGAAGATGGCAAAGACCATTGAAAGCTATAAAGAGTCCTCTTTGCTTGAATTTTGTCGAAGTACCCAACAAACGGCGGAAGCTTTATTTTTCACCTAACTGGTATAAACGACAATGACCACGTCTAAATATATATATATATATATATATATATATATATATATGTTACTATTCTATTTTTCGTACAGAGCGATGCATCTGTATTTACCACATTTGCAGTAAGTTGGAATAGGATGAAATATCCATCATCAATGTTTACTCGATCTTGAAGCAGTGTAGTGTGAAATTAATCGTAAAGTGAAGCCTAGAAAAAACGGCAATTACAATAAGCTGTGCATTTCCTTGCGTGAACTGAAGCGAGCATGGATTCATTTCTCTGCGTGCATAAATGCTAAGGCAGAATGTGGGAACGATCTATTATCACAATAATACGTAGAAAAATGAAAGTGCACGCAAATCGCAGTACGCCTTTGGTTGCATGTAGGAACTCTAACAGTTTATTGTATTTTGCATGGAAAGGTTGAGTCATAATTTTGCGTGGAGGTAAATGACCTTTCTTATTTCAACACGCTAACTTGATGCCAAATTACGCACACATACAAATTCTAAGCAGCCATCAGAATCATTATTGGACTTTGCCGAAACCGAGCACTCATATATATTTGAAACATGACTGAAGACAAGACTGTAAAGAGTAAAATACGACTTAAGCGATAAAGACTTTTTGACAGCAAGGTTGTTCTTTCTTTGAATCCTAGTGAGACCATAATCCAAGAATACTAAAGAAAATTTGTGAAAAATGTCCATCCTCTACAAAACGGTTTCGAAAAAAACAACCATAAGATCCTACAACATATCTACAAACACAAACAAAAACGGAGTTTAAAGTCGACCTGTTTCTTTTAAGTTCATACAACCATTCCACCAACATCCAAAGGTAAAGGATCATTACATGACATGAATTTTGCAGTTACGTAATTCCCTTGATTTCTCTGGTTCAAACTGAACAATAATTCTCTAAACTGATGAATTGATAAACAGAGTCTGAGATCATCTATCCACGGAATATATCTATATTACTTAATACTTTTGTCTTTCTTCAAACACGTGCGAGTCATATAAGGGGTGTTGGTCCAAAAGTCAAATTCTCATAACTTAGTGAAATTCATCCAATAACGATTCTTTGTTGCTACATACATATGTACAACGTTGATTATAAAACAAAAATGTTGCGACATGGGAAATGATAATTGGATCATATTTACAAAATTTTATATTCTTCTGAACAACAAAAGTATTGTGTCCTTTAATTTTTGAGTAATCTACAATCTTCTCCTCATAAGCTGCCGACCTCTTCCGAAAGTACCAGAGTCTTTTGTTCTTGACGCTTATCAAAGGAATGCAGATCCAACAATCCCATAGTAAATAGCATTTTCCCAGCAGCTGAGAAGATTGGCGAGATGAAATAACCTCCAAATCTCTGCTTCTTTTCTTCTCTTGGGCTCTTAATTCCTGCATGTAGCCATCTGCAAGGCTGTGGACCGGATTGATCATACAGAAAATGGGATATTTAATATGTAGTTCCTTTCTTATCTTTCAAAACCAAAGATAAATATTTGACATACATATGTTAACGATACACTTGATGATGAGTTGTGTAAAGAATATGCAGTCCAACTTTCCAAAAAAAAACTAGTATGGCCGTGGAGCGTAGAGTCTAATATACTTTTATTTGTTACAGGTGGGAATATTGTTGCTCCTTTGGTGCATCTCCTGCTCGCACTCTGAAGATGCCCCAGAAAAAGCTCAAGACAAGAACAACCAATCAACCAACAAGACTGTCCTCCAAAAGTCGGAGCCTTACCAGAAAGAAGAACCATCTTTCATGTCCAAGATAGCCAGCTGGATATTCCCAAATGCTGCCGAAGACAGGAACGACCTGGTACCTGCAGCTGGTGGGTTTGGAGGGCAGCAGTACCTCCCACCTCCTCCAAATCATGGTTACCCAGACAAGGATTGCAATCCGTGCAACTTGGAGCCCTGGGTTCCAATAGTTTCCCAAGGAAGCCATAAAACTGTTATCAATTTTGTGCCACCTAGTGATTATCCTAGTCAGATTTCTAGTAGTTTAGATTCACTTCAACCTCCTGGGGGTGGTTATAAGCTTCCTGCTCAGCTGTATGGACCACCACCCCCACAGTTTAAGCCGAAGCAGCCGGTTGCAGTAGATTTAGGGATTGTCGATTACATGGTACCTCCTCCATTAAAATTTGGAATTCCTATGCAACTCTATGGACCGCCACAAGCATATGGGCCTCCGAAACTTGAATATGGCCCTCCTAAGCCTCAATATGGCCCTCCTAAGCCTCAATATGGCCCTCCTAAGCCTCAATATGGTCCTCCGAAGCCTCAATATGGTCCTCCTAAGCCTCAATATGGTCCACCTCCTGCACCACCTAAGCCCCAGTACGGGCCTCCTCCTAAACAGCAATATGGTCCTCCCCCTAGACCTCAGTACGGCCCTCCCCAACCTCATTTCGAACCTGCAACACAGCTCAATTATGCTCCTCCAAAGCCACAGTATGGACCACCTCCAGAGCTTCAATATGGCCCTCCTCCGAAACCCCAATATGGTCCTCCTCCCCAGCCTCAGTACGGGCCACCGGCTCGTCCACCAAAGCCACAGTATGGACCTCCAAGATCAAACTACGGTCCTCCCAAACCCAGCTACGGTCCCCCTCTTCAAACGAACTTTGCACCGCCACCTCCTAACGACTACGGCCCTCCTCCAAAGCCTCAGTATGGTCCACCACCACAACCTCAACCTGAGTACGGGGCTCCTATTGGACATAACGACCTTTCTCCTCCACCAATCAACCATAATGTAAATATCCCCACAACTCATCTACAGCCTGTCCAAGGTGGTGATATCCCTCCTGCACAACCAGAAATTGAAGACCACACATCATTCGGAATTCCTGAATGGCCATCAGATAGCTATGGGGCACCTGTGACTGGAGATAATCTGGAATATACCGGCAATGCAGACGCGCTGCCTTTAGGAAGTGGAGATACCAACAGTGAGGTAATTATTTTGCAATGTGATGCTGCAGGCTAGACCAAACCAGAAATATACGTAATGTACAAAGACCAAATTTTTTATTTGTATTCAAGTTATAGAGAAATCAATGGTAAATAAAATTCAAGAACCACCCTGGTCTTACTCTTAATGTAAAATAACATATATATATATATATATATATATATATATACATATATCCTTGAATTTATTTGGGTAGAAGGCAAAGTACTGCAAAAGTACACTCTTATAACTTAAACTCGAGCTTTCGAAGATCTATGTTTTCATCGTCTGGAGCTGGAAGCAATTATTGACAATAGCATCAATTAACAATTAGGAGGAAGAATAGTTACTTACTAAGTCGGCGAGAGTGTTGCTGAAATTGTTTTTAAACAACAGTGAAGGGGACAACTCGTCGACGATGAAATACTGGACTGATGAGGTTCGATTAGGACGGAATTATTTTATGATTGAATGGCAAATCATTTTGAAAGGTTTTTCTTTACTTAAACGTTGATTGATTTTGGAAGAAATTTGGAAATTTGAAAACTATCCACTATTGAAAATTCTTTCGAGATTTTATCTTTTTTTCCACCCATAACCGCCACATTCTCCAACACGTGCCGGCCGACTGACATTCTACAGGGGCGTATGAAGTGTGACATTGAAGTTATGTCGTCACTGTGACGTGTGTTGTCTACGACTTAGTAAGTAACTAGTCTTCCTCCTAATTTTAAATTGTTGCTATTGTCAATAATTGGTTCCAGCTCCAGACGATGAAGACATAGATCTTCGAAAGCTCGAGTTTAAGTTATAAGAGTGTACTTTTGCAATACTTTGCCTTCTACCCAAAGAAATTCAAGGTTATTTTCTCCTAACAGTTAAGGCAATTAACTATGAATACTATATATACAGGGTGGGGCAAAAGTCGCGAAGGGATTTGAAAAATTAATAACTTTTTTAAATTTTAATTTTAATTTTTTTCCCTAACACAAAACTAAAATGCAATGTTTGGAGTTTGTATACAATTTAAGTGTGAAAGATTACATCACGCAAATGACCGCCATTTTCAGCCTCGCAAAGTGCAGCTCTTGCAAGAGCATTTTCCATTACCCGAGTCAGAATATCTGGCCCCAAAGCACTTACTTCTGCTCGAATATTATCTTTTAGTTGCTGCAGGGTTGTGGGTTTATTAATATACACTTTTCCTTTCAGATATCCCCAAAGGAAATAATCAGGGGCTGTTAAGTCCGGCGAGCGGGCGGGCCAATTGAATCCTGAATTTCTCGAAATTAAACGTTCGCCAAAAATCTGCCTTAGAAGGTGCATAGTGGCTCGAGCAGTATGCGCAGTGGCTCCATCTTGTTGGAAAGTCATCGTTTGATTGTCAGCAAGAGCTGGTCTTAAGAAATTTTGAATCATATCACGATATCGGTCGCCATCTACAGATACAGCATTCCCATCGTGGTCTTCGAAGAAGAATGGTCCAATAATTCGTTGAGACGTAACTGCGCACCATACTGTACATTTAAGCGGATGTAATTGCCTTTGATGAACCACCCTTGGGTTCTCGGTACCCCATATTCTGCAGTTCTGCTTATTTACGAAGCCATTCAAATGAAAATGGGCTTCATCGCTCATGATCAGAGAATGAATAAATTCATTATCTTCTCGAGCCATTCTTTGCAAGCGAACTGCATAAGTTAGTCGTTCTTGAAAATCTGCTGGTTTTAGTTCTTGCACTAGCTGCACTTTATATGGAAACAGATGTAAATTTCCTCTTAATATTCTGCGTAAAGACCTTTGAGACATCTGCAGCTCAGCAGAACGTCTTCGGGTTGAGGTTTCCGGATTCTCCTGAACACTCTCCTGAACGCGTTGAATCTTCCCTTCATTTCTTGCGGAACGTGGCCTTCCGCTTCGTGGGAGATCCATAACTGTGCCTTGTTGCTGAAATCGTGCCACTAAGCGTCGAATCATTGATTCAGAGGGCGAATTCCGCAAATTGAAATGACGACGATATGCTCGTTGAGTTTGAATTATTGAATGGTGATATTCAAAATAAAATTCTATAAGTTTGGTTCGTTGATTGAGGTTGTAACGCTCCATAATTAATCTCCAGGATTTATTTTACACGGTCCTGAAAAAAAAAATGAAAACAAAATAAATTTAAAAAAGTTATTAATTTTTCAAATCCCTTCGTGACTTTTGCCCCACCCTGTATATATAATTCAGCGCTTCAGGCCTGAAGGCCCATGGCTTCTATCTTTTTGACAACTTCTTTCCACGCTTTTCTATTTTTGGTCTTTTCCTCCCAGTCTGGTATGCCTAGTCTTTGTATATCCTCTTTGACACTTTCCAGCCACTGCTTCTTCGGTCTTCCTCTTCTTCTTCTACTACCTTCTCCTCCAAACAAAACTTTTTTGGCATTCCTATGAGACGGCATTCTGTAAACGTGTCCTAACCAGCGCACTCTTTGAGCTCGGGCTTTTTGCATTATACTGGGTTGATTATACATCACCATCAGTTCTTTATTAGTTCGCTTTCTCCATGTACCATTGTTGTTTTTTGTGCCCCCATATATTTTACGTAACATTTTTCTTTCCCAGCGTTCCAAATTCTGTACGTTTTTCTGGCTTAACACCCAAGCTTCATCGCCGTAAAGTACTGATGGTTGGATAACTGATTTATATATCCTTTCCTTTGTTTTCCTTGATATCCACCTCGAGTTTATCATCTTGCTTAAAGCCCCCATTGCTTTACTTCCTTTTGCTATTCTTTTTTCAATTTCTAAATTTTCTTCTGCTTTATCTGTTATTGTGACCCCTAGATATTCAAATTGATTCACCTTCTCGAAACAGTATTCTCTGCAACTACTTCTTATTGTTAACTTTCCTTCATTGCTTCCTCTCATTTCAAGGTATTTTGTTTTGTCTTCATTTATATGAAGCCCAAAACGTTTGGCAGTTTCTTCTAACCTTCTAAACGTCTTCTCAAGTTCTGCTTTGGATCTGGTTATTATTGCTATATCATCGGCATAAGCAATCAACTGATGTTTTCTATAGTAAACAACTCCGTCGGTTTGTATACCACAATTACGTAAAATAGCTTCCAGCGTAAAGTTAAACAGTGTTGTAGATAGCGGGTCTCCTTGTCTCAGGCCTCTCGTTACGCCAAAAGCTCTAGATGTTTTCCCTTCCAATGTGACTTTGTTCATTGTCCCGTGCATTGTCATTTTGACTAACCTTATCAGTTTACTTGGTAGTCCCAGCAGTCTCATAGCTTCATATAATTTTTCTCTGTCAATGGAATCATACGCTTGCTTGAAATCAATAAATAATGCCTGTAAACCAAGATTTTGTTCATAGCTATTATAGAACAGCTGTTTCATTGTAAATATTTGGTCTGTTGTGGACCTGCCCCTTCTAAAACCTCCTTGATATTCACCTATAACCTCATTTTCATATATGCTCAATCTGTCCCTTAGTTGAAATGCTAGTATCTTATATGCAGTGTCTAACAGGGCAATGCCTCTATAGTTTTCACATGAACTTTTATCACCTTTTTTGTGTATTGGGCAGATTACGGCGTTTTTCCATTCATCTGGTAGTTCCTCTTGATTCCATATATATCTGATCAGACTTCCAAGTCGCTTGTGTAAATCTTGTCCACCCGCTTTTATTATTTCTGCTGTGATTCCATTTTCTCCTGGACTCTTATTGTATTTTAATCTTCCTATTGTTTCCTCTATTTCCAGATCCGTTGGTTCGTGTATTTGTCCCTGATTGTCATCTTCGATTAGTGGTGCTGCTTCCGTGTTCCTTTCCTCTTCGTCTGATAGCTTTAACAGTTCCTCAAAATGTTTGGCCCACCTTTCTAATTTTCCTGGAATGTCACCAATTAACGACCCATCTTTGTCTTTATAGAAGCAAGACGACCTTTGACTACCCAATTTGCTTCTTCTTACATCCTGATAAAAGTTCTTAATGTTTTTGTTGATCATGTGATTTTCTATCATTTTCAAGCCCATTTCCCAGTATTCACGCTTTTTCTTTCTACACATCTCTTTCACTTTTCGTTTGGCTTGTTCATATCTTTTCCTTGACTCTGTTGTTCTAGATACATCCATTTGTATTTTTGCTTTCTGTCTTTGTTCCAATTCCCGTTTACAGTCATCATCGAACCACTCTTTGTTTTTTCTAGTACTCGTTTTTCTCATCATCTGTTGTGCTACATTAGTGATTATTGCTTGGATATGATTCCATTCCTGATTAATATCCTGCACAGCTGGTGTGTTTTGCAGTCCTGTCGCTATTGATTGTTCAAGTTGCTGTCTAACTGACGTATCTTCTAGCGCTTTTGTTTCGTACCTTTTGATTGTCTTCTGTCTCTCTAACTGTTTCTTCGGGATTTCTTGTTTTATAACAGCTACTACCATAAAGTGATCCGTATCACTATCTGCACCACGGTAACTTCTAACATTGTGTATATTGCAGGCATGCTTGTTTTCGATCAGTACGTGGTCAATTTGATTCGCAGTATTACCACCTGGTGAGATCCATGTTGTCTTGTGGATATCTTTCCTGTCAAAATAAGTGCTCATTATCTTGAAATTTTGTTCAATTGCAAAGTTAATCAGGAGTTTGCCATTTTCATTTGAGAGTGGATGTTTGCTTTTCCCTCCTGTAACGTTTCGATAAGTGTCTTCACGCCCAACTCTTGCATTGCAGTCTCCTAATATTATTTTGATATCGTATTTTGGTAGACTATTTATCACGTCATCTAACTGTTGATAAAAGTCTGTTTTGATATCCATATCCTTGTCTTCACTTGGGGCATGTACATTGATCATTGTTACTTTCCTGTACTTTCCTCTCAGGCGTAGATAACACAATCTTTCCGATATAGGTTTAAATTCTACTATCGTGTCTTTTAGCTTTGCATTTATTAGATATCCTGTCCCAAAAAGTCTATTTGCACCACCGCTATTACAAAATACGAAATTTTCGCACTGGGATATTCCTGTTTCTTTAAGTTTCGTTTCTTGAAGAGCTAGAACGTGTACTTTATATACGGTCACTATGTTGACTAAGTTTTTCAGTGCACCTGCTTCGTAGATACTTCTGACATTCCAAGTTGCAATTCTAATTTGCTCTTCTTTAAATTTATACGTACTTAACGTCTTATTTCTTTCGTTATTTTTATTCATGTTCCTTACCTGTTCCATTGTCATAGCCACATTTTCTGTCGTCTCCAAGATATCCTTTTCTCTAAACATAACTAATTTTTTTGAATCAATGTGTCTGGTTTCAACACCTGGTCTTTTTTATCCCATCTCCATTTTTCTCCACTGATCAGCAAGTTCATATAACCTATCTTGACTGTATTTCCTTTTGCTTTCTCCGTTTTAGCTCTGTGTCTTATATGCTTTTGAATCATCATCTCATTTTTTGTCAAATCACTGTTTATGTAGATTTTTGCGTTTTCAAATATTGCACCTTACCTTTGGCTTTCATGATCTTCATTTTAGCATCAAAACTCTTCAACTCCGCAATATAGAGGTTCTCTTTTATTTTTGGGCGGACTGAATATCTGCCTCTGGAGACAGTCTGGTTTTCAGAAAGTTTTCTACTGATTGCTTTAAATCCTCGTTACCTCCTGTCCCTAGGTTTAAACCCGAGATCACTATATTATTTTTTCTTCTACCTTTCTCTAGGAGCTCTATCCTTTGTTCTACTTCTTCCAACTGCTCAACCCTCTGTTTAAGCATACTGATTTCCTGCATCATGTCTTCGTTTCTTTGTTTAAGAATTGTATTTTGTTCTTTAAGTAACCTCATTTCCTCACGATTTTCCTCCCGAAACCCTCTAAACTCCTCCATAAGACTTTTCATCATGTCCTTAATTTCTTCCATCTCCTTGTTAGTAACTCTTTTATTTCTATCTTTTGTCGGGGTTCTTATTATCTTTTTACTTTTTTTAAAGGCTTCTGTCTCTTGCTCTTCAATCCTCTTTCTTTTGCTTCCATCGTCTGTTGACTCTTCAGTTGTGCTATCTTCACTCTGTCTAGAGCTGATACGGAATGCCGACATCTACACTCTATTATCTCCGCCTATGCTTTTAGTCTTCTATTGTGTATATATGGCTGTCTACGCTGATCCACGCAAGGCGCCGCAGGTACCGATTTCCCGGGTCGACCCCTCCGAGGAAAGATGGTACCGATCAGCTGTTGGCGATTCGAGATTTCTTATTTCAAGTGCAATTGACACTTACCCCGCAGATCTTCGCTTTTTGTTTATTTCAAAGTGTCTCAGTTTAACTAATTCACGCTTGACACTACTTTTCAATAAATAAAATGACTCGAAACTCCGTAATACGAATTTAATTTCGGAGCCCAGTTTTATATTGTTTATCACTCTCAGTGGCGTACTCGTTATATATATATATAGGAAAATAATGGGCAAAATTCGCAAAAACAAGGAAAGTGGATTCGAGCAGAAATAGGATAGGTAACCCGAGCGATACGTATTTCTGCTGGTTGGCTTCATCAGGCCCGAAATGAATGCACATATGTAACTACAAAAGTAGTTACACATGCCCATACATCCGGATACGGGTGTAACCTGAGGAAACGAAGATGGAGAAGAAAAAAACAGACACACGTAGTCCACAACAAGAGCCAACCTACACATTGTAGTATAAAATGGCTAGAAGACCTCGAATTTACACCCGTAACCGTGTGTGTTTTTTTCCTCTCCATTTTCGTTTCCTCAGGTTACACCCGTATCCGGATGTATGGGCATGTGTATCTACTTTTGTAGTTACATATGTACATTCGTTTCGGGCCTGATGAAGCCAACCAGCAGAAATGCGTATCGCTCGGGTTACCTATCCTATTTTCTGCTCGAATCCACTTTCCTTCTTTTAGCGGATTTTGCCCATTATTTTCCTATTTTTTTGGTTATATACCTTTCTCCGCATTATCACTTTCTCTTTGTATATATATATATATATATGTTTGAACAGAATGTGTTGGAAATGCTGCAGACGACTTTTAAAAACGCTTGTTTATAATGAGAACGCCATTACAGTCAAATTAGAATTTAGAATGTACGAAAAAACTACTGTTCAATAGTGAGACAATTTGTCTGCTTAACGTACTTTTTTGAGATTGAAATTAAATTGTTAGCCATAATATTGTGAGAGTAACAAATTCACTGCGTCAGTTCTTCGTTATAGATCAGGAAATAGATCATTTTTTCCTACAATTATTGCAACAGTATTTTTTATTGTTATCATTAGATTATTGCATCCTAATCATAAGTTTAAATTGACGTTATGATGGGGCTGTTGCATTTGGCGCCATTTTGATAAGCGCGCTTGATCGAAAATTACGATCGTATGTGAGAAATAGAAACAATTTTGTAGGGAATTTCGTTCATTTTACTTGCCGAACAGTCAACATCTCACGAGTAGTTCAAGGGTAAGAATATACTCAGTGACATTATCCAGAAAAAAATAATTTCTTTACCTTTTTTTTTGGCAACTTAATGACGATATTTAATGCATGCTGTGGCAACAATGTCGAAGTTTTATCTTTGGTGTTGTCTATCTTTGTTCGAATGTTACCTCTTATTAAGAAAGCAGTTTCTGACTGCTGAGTAGTACACATATTTTTAGTTAGTGCCTATCGAGATTTTGGTTTGTCCTATCGCGAAATTGGCCGCCGTGCTAATTGTACTGCAATGACGGTAAGGCGTGTGTGTCGTGTGTGGATAGAAGAAGGCCAACTGGTCCACCGGGGTGTACCGCAGAAGGTCAATATAGGCGCTTCAGACAACTAATACGCGTCAGATAGCTTGCCAATGGACATACCTGTTACTATGCGTACACTCTATCGCCGCATTAAGCTTTTGGACTTGTTTCATACCGTCCACGGTACTGCTTCCTCTGACTGCGGACCACTGTCGCCAACATTTGAACTGGAGCAGAGAACGGCAAGATTGGGAGGCAGAATGGCATAATGTCATCTTCAGCGACTAATCGCGATTCTGTCTGGGTACGCACGATGTTCGTAGAAGGGTAAGACCCAGCCCTGTACACAGGACTGTTGGAGTAATGGTTTGGGGGGCAATTGCCTATGGTAGCCGATCACCCCTTCTCTTTGTTCAAGGCAATATGACTGCTGTCCTACAAATGACTGTACTGCCGTATCTAGAGGGACATCCGCACATCCTTTTTCAGCAAGGCAACGCACGTCCCCGCATTAGAAAAAATCCTAATTGGCACATTCCTAGAGCAATGTCGTAGTTATGGATTTGATACGAGCACTTTCAAGATCCTATTGATACTCCGCGAGTATACTCCAGAACGTCACCGTCATCCTCGATCTTTCTTTCCATCTAAACTGCATATGTTTGTTTAAACCGTACAAAAGCCGTCTGGTTGAGCACAGTTTAAGCCCTAGACAGCCCCAAATGTTGCAATTTTGTATGTTTTTTAATCGAACAGCGAAAATGGACACTGAGTATTTTTTTCCAATATCTTTATTACGTTTTCGGTGTTGTTTTGCCGCAAATCAGCTTTGGTATTGCAAACGTAGTTGACACTGAACAGGAAAGTCCCGTCTTTCAGGACACCCTGTAGAATCTTTTTATGTAGTTCCTGCTCTAGAAATAATATCATTGTCTTCTGAATCACTGTACAGAAGATAAGTAGGTATTTGATGATTAGTTGCTGGCGCTTGTAAACTATTTTATTCCATATTACTCTTCAAGACAGTAGATAGAAGCTTTATTTATACTTTTCTTAATTTCCAGGTTCTTGACAGGCCAATAGCCCTACCGAATCTCAGCTCCCGACCAGTAGTGCCTATCTATAACTCCAGAGATTTTAAGCAAGGCGGCTTCTTTTCAAAGATCTCACATAGACCCGATAACGACAACGGAGTAGAGATCCAAAAAAGTGTCAACGTTGCTGATTTTGTAGCATCCATAGAGCATCCTATAAATGTAGTCCAAAGTCCTATCGTAGAGGTGTCTGTCAAAGAAGAACGTGGTATTGATGATGAGTATCAAGAGAGTACAAATACTAACATTAGGGAAGATAATAAAAACTCCTATAATGGAGGACCACCAGTAAACGGTCTTAGCGAAAACAGAGGGGAGAACATCAAGGACATCATTCAACAGAAAGGTGATCAAGTAAAGCTCAGTGAGCATCCAATAGTTGTGGACGATATCCATACAGCCGCAAGCGATAGAGTCAACAGAACAGTTGAAAACTCAACAACACCTGTTAAACGTACAAATGAGAAATATTTAGCTGTTGCTTCTTTAGACGGCAATAGTATAGAACCTCAAAAACCTAATAACGACGATATTGATATAAACGCAGAATTTATCAAAAAGCTTTTAATCGAGCAGGGCATAGTCCAAAATCCAACACAGCAGGTGCTGGAGATACAAAAAGTTTCACAAACGCAACGTACTACTAACGCAAATAACACTTTCACTCCCCCTACAATTGATTATGGCAAGTGGGAGCCGAGCGTGGATAAGAGCTCAATACCAACGTCCATGACCCCACCACCTGCTAACGTTAAGTCTACTTGGTTACATCCTGTGCAGACTATTAACGATGCCAAACCTCTACAAATCATTGTACCTTACATTAAAAATAGAAACAATAATCAGTACAAACCCGACTGGTCTTTGAAGGACAATCCAAAACTTCCTCCACAACACAAAGAAGTATACACAACTCTTGTACCAGTGTATACTCCTCCAGTGTCCACAGAGGAGTCAGTTTGGTCTAAGTTCATAGAAAGTTTCCAGCTTCCTAAAACCAAGAAGTTCCAAGCAGCAGGGTTCGAAAAACCTACAACGGGCATCTACAATGTTAAGGACCTCTTCCCAAATGACAAATTGCCTTATGAAGTGATATCGTTGCAGAAGAATATCGATAAATGGACACACCAAACATTTTCGAACAGCCCCAATACTGGATCTCACACCACTGATCCATTACAGACGTCTAAAACTATACCTGATGACTATTTGACAACTGCCAGAAGTCCCAACTTTGATCACCAATCTGCTGAATCTTCCAAGTCAGAGGTTGTGAGTCAAGATGAGGATATAGCTTCTAATGTTATACTAGATACCGAAACGACAACCGCTCAAACTACAACAAGCACCAAAAAAATTAAAACAGAAACAACGAATAGTCAATGGGACAACGCTAGGGTGACGATGTCACCGCAAACCAAAGAAAAGGTGTACGTTGTCACACCCCAGGCTTACAGCTTGCTTGTACCTACTTCTACTCCCGCTACAGCTTGGAGTATGGCTCCTAAGGTGGAAAATGGAACTGTGAACAATGCAACCTATGATACACACAAGTTCACGATACGGGTCGAGGCGCCATCTAAGGACGGTAGGAATTTGAAGAATTCTGCTGTGAAGGTTGTCTACAGCGAATGGCCTCATGTCAGTAAGTATTATTTTCCATTTTTGACATTGTAAAATATTTCAAATGATAATTTTAATTCGTCTAAATGTAGTAGACTGGGTTAGCTCATCCCAAATATTGGTTAAAATCACATATCATTCGCTACACTACAGATATGATTGTTTAAAGTATTCTGATCAGTGATGCTTGCTCACTCTCTTATCGGTGGATTGCATATACAGGGTGTTGCAGAACTATGGGGTCAAACCTGTAGGGGTTATTGAGTGTAAAAGTAGAAAGCATTTCCCGAACGACAGCATCCGGGATACAAAAAGTTTATTGCTATTCATCGGCGACTCTCTAAAACCAACATGCATGATACTGATGTTGCTCAAACCGTAAGAACGGTCGAATTTGAAGAAGAGGTCCTTCAGCGAGTTGCCGACGAACCATCAAGTAGCACACGTCACGTTGCTGAGGATACGAATACGAGTAACGCTTCCGTCTGGCGGGTGCTGCATGAGCAACAACTTTATCCTTACCACTTCCAGAAAGTTCAAGGATTGACTGCATCCAATTATCATCCTAGAGTTCAATTTTGTCAATGGCTTCTTCATCAAATCGCTGCACAACCAAATTCTTTACGTTATGTTTTATGGACCGATGAAGCCTCTTTCACAAGAGACGGTATTTTTAATAGTAGGAATAGCCACGTTTGGGACAAAGAAAATCCCCATGCAATTTTTCCTAGAAAACATCAGTAACGTTGGTCTGTCAAGGTATGGGCAGGCATTGTTGATGATTATTTGATTGGGCCATACCTTCTACCGGAACGGTTAACAGGACCTATTTACCGGCGTTTCTTGGAGGAAGTTCTTCCAGAAGGTCAGCGGTTTGGGCACCGCTGGATTGCCAGAGGTGGAGCAGTTTCTTGGCCTCCTAGATCACCCGATTTAACGTCGCTAGATTTCTTCCAGTGGGGACATGTAAAGTCTTTGGTTTACGAAACTCCAGGAAAAACAGAGCAAGACTTAATTGGTCGAATTACAGCAGCATTTGAAATCATTTAAAACGAGTGTCAAATTTTTAGTCAAGTCCGCCGAAATCATGTGCGACTTTTAAGTCGTGTATTCATGTTGGAGGAAGACATTTTGAACAATTGTTGTGATGATATCATGTATAAGAGGCAAAAATCAAATGAGTCCCTATACTCAAATGTTCTACTGTTACACTAAATAACCCCTAGAAGTTTGATCCCTTAGTTCTGAAGCACCCTGTATAAACAGTAACAGTAGGTATGTATTCGCTATAGGAATTAGTCATTAAAACATACAGTTTCCAAGTTTTCATCCAGTTCTATTCTATAAAATAACATACAGCATATAAAAAGAAGCAATACATTTGAAAAAAAGGCGTCAAGTGGATTGATAGGTACCTATATAGGGTGTCCTTCATAGAAGTACCACGTATTTTTAGAGTCAAAGTGAGTTGAATGGACATGATTTACCACTATGCACAAGTGCTTCATTTTTCCGTTATAAGGTGTCAAAGTTTTCTTTTTAAAGCACATTTTTCCAAAAATGTTTCGAACCGATGGTCCGATTTGTTGAAATTTGGAACAAATATGTTTTGCGGCCTAATATTTAACTTCTACAAAAAAACCGAAAGGGTTCAAGAAGGTTGAAAACTACCTCCACCTCTAACTATATAAATTATTTTTTATGTAAAAGATCCTTTGGCTTACTTCAGTTTTCGTCTGTTTTAGAAACAGGCCATTTTGCATAATTTTCGAGTAAAAATATGTTTTTCGGAATTGCTTTCTAATAAATTTTCTCCTCACTTGGAATGTTATTTTTTTGCGCTGTATTGCTATGTGCGGGAACGAAAATGGTGGTCATATTGAACACATTTTATGAAAAATTCGCAGTAGTTAGATAAAGTTGTAATAAGTAATATCATGTTTGTTTAATTTCGCTAACTACACTCAAAGAATAAATAAGACGCTTAGGAATGTCTTGATGCAACTCAATTCTTTCTCGAAAACTATCCAAGATGGTATGTTTTTATAAGAGACAAAAATGAAGTAAACAAGAAAGTCAGTCATCGGGAAAGTTGCCAAAAAAATTTTGCTGTGATTTATGTTGGGTGAGGGTAGGTTTCACTCTTCTCAAACCCTTTACAGTTTTTCGTAAGAGTCAAATATTAGAATGTCTAGCAAAACATATGTGCTCCAAATTTAATTCAAATCGGACTATCGGTTCTTAAAATATCCTAAAAAATGTGTTTTAAAATGAAAACTTTATTGCCCTCTAACGGACAAACGAAGTTCTTCTGCATGAAGGTAAATCACCCTGTATATTCTGTAACGTCCCACGTAATGTCGTCAAAGTATGTTCGCCTTTCCAAAAATTTTTTATCAATTTCATAGCTTTCGATATTTCCAAAAGCATCATAAAATTGGTTAACACAAAATAGTCGTTCGAAGATATTTAGTTACATTTGAAATATAAAATCAACATTATTTATGCCGTTCCTCAACTTAATGAAAACAAAAAAACAGGACACTTTATACTTGGCGTCCTACAATTGTAAGACGCCTTTATGGTCTCTTCCGATATTTAAGACCATTCCTCCTCAATTCCAACGATATCGTACTCTTAGAAGATCTGTTTTGACATTACAACCTGATTTTTTGCGCTTCTCACCAATCTTTCTGACCTCTGTGCAGTAAAATTTACATTTAATGTACGTGGTCTTCCAATCTTTAGGAGATTCAGGCATGGTATTCCCTGCTAGCAATCCGATATTGTTCGATAAATGGTTCTGCGTGAAATGTTTTCATTCTGCCAACTTGTAGATACTTTTTCGTATATTTAATTTATACGTCATCTTACAGCGAAAACTTCAAAATAAATAAATGTCAACTGACAGTAAAGTAAGTAAACCAACTTTTGTTTCCAAAGGCTACTTGGTATTATTTTGCGTTTGTTAAAATTAAAGCCAATAAGTTTTGTACCAAAGCTTTTCTCTTGATTGGTGCTCGCCGCCCTAATTGATGTGAAATGCAATCCTTATCAAATGCCAGGTGCGAGGTTAACTATATAGTTAATAAGAATAAATACATTGGAGTAACACTCAGCATACTCAATATTCACCAAATATTTTGTTAGTAAAACACTAATACTGCTTCAGAGGTGTAGTATGTGCGAAATTCTGACTGATAGAAAATTATTTGCGGCACTAACTTTTCTGAAACATTTGCTATATATTCAAATTAGATGTTTAGTTGTCTCCTGTAGAAAATTTCGTCAGAGCAGTGCTATGGAAAAATTGGTAAATGTATTTTTCAGGTATTATCCAGAAATGTGTTTATAAACGGACTCTAAAGCTTGTCGTCGCCGTATGACATGTCTCGAATAAGGGCGGTTATTCATTTAATTTCACTTCTCTATAATACTTGACCTTGAGAAGGTGTAAGTAAAAATCAATATTATAGAAACAGATCCATCATGTGAATATCAATTAACAATAAACTCCTCATACCCCAATGAGCTTCCCACTGAAGACGAGAACCGTCATCATTTTGATTGATATTTATTATTGTTAATACACCTGAAGAAAGTTAGTTTTGACCCGACTTGCTCGTTAGACAAACAGATGCCAATTACCCGAAGGAATCTTCAACGAATTTTCACTTTTTAATTGCCTTAACTACCTTTAATGACACTTGCTTCATTTGCTGTCGTCAAAGGTGCTACTGGCGTCTTCTCCGGTTCATGTCCCATATAGCAGCTTAACTGGTCGTTAAATAAAGATAACTTATGGAGAATGTTCCACTCTCCCGAAAAAAGTATTGCCCATTTACGCAGGGAAAATTACTATTTAGTATATCAACATGTTGTAAAAATACGCTCAGGTTAAAAATAAACGCAACAAGCAAAATGTTGGTCAGACTGGTAACGTCAGTATTTTTTACCCGATTTCATTGATTACTACGGCAGGTGGTTGGTACACTCATTGGCTTTATTGTGTGAATATGAGTTCTTGATTGTACAGGGTAAACTAAAATGATGTTTCATTACCCCGACTTTGAGTTGCTCTGAGTGACTTCAGTTGCCAATCAAACCGCAATGATTTCCATGATGAAGAACCCCACTTTCTCAATAATCCGGGTTTTTATTAACGTCAGTCTATAGAGTGATTGGAGTTTTATATGCAAATGAAGATTTTGCCGCCAAGTTTGCTTCTTCTTTTCATAACTTTCTTAATTCCCGTACAAAATCAAAAAGTTATCAATTTCTACAGAAATCTGTTACATTTCTGTACTAGCTCCTCATTTATTCCTATAGTCACTGCTTCCGTTTATCTACAGTAGTAAATAAAATGAAACGAAATGGAGTGCACAATTTCCGGTGACCGGTGAAATTTATTTAGATTTTCTTTGACACAATCTGCCACAATTGTGAGACAGAATGTGTGGTTCCTACATGATAGAGCTCCACCACATTTTAGAAGAGAGGTTCATGAACATCTAAATCATGAGTGTCCAAATAAATGGGGACAATTTTGATCAGTTTTTTAACTTGATAACGATTTTTTTAATCAATTTTTAATAATATAAACTAGCTCTCTTATTATGAAACGTTTATATAGGTGATCTTTGGTATATCAACTTCTTGTGAAGACTTCTACAAGCTGTTAAAATAAATGACTTTGAAAACGTGTTCCGAATTAAATCAAAAGTTTTTATTTTCTTTGGTACTGTAAATAGACAGTATCAATGGCGACTTGAACAAATGTGGGCCTAATGCAGAAAGGCAATAAGTTTCTGTACAATTTGGTGAAAACCTCTTAGAATTCGTACGGGGAAAAAGTTATCAAAGGAGGAATAAAAATTGGTTGTAAAATGTCCATCTGCGTCTGAAACTTAAATCACTGTATACATGGTGTCCGCAAAGTTGGGGTTTTCCTTTACACGACGTGTAGATCTTGAAAACATAAGCAATTTTTCTTAGTACCATATACACCAATGTCTTACGGGAACCGAGATAAAGGGCTCTGCAACATCAAAAATATCTGAATACCGTCCTGTAGCCGCGATCCGGGACATCACCGATTGGTACAAGGTCTCAACCCGACGGCAGAACTGGGTCGGGGTCAGTGTGTCAGGTTAGTATGCAACCTTCAACCGACGGTTACGGTCACGCGTGTAGAGGTAAACGAACTCGTATAATCGATTGCGTTTCAAAAAACAACAAGCACTAGAGACATGGCTAGAGAAGTGCAAGTATCAAAAACTAAAGTGTGACAAACGCTGCGTGAAGAGGGGCTGTATCCGTTTTACGTCCAACGTGTACAAGCCCTTCAACCTGACGATTTTCCAGCAAGAGTGCGGTTTTGTGAGTGGTTGTTGCATCAACATGACAATAATCCGGACTTTTTGAAGTGCATATTGGTGACAGACGAATCTACGTTCACGCGTAATGGGGTGAATAACTTTCGCAACACTCATGTTTGGTCAGTAGAAAATCCGCACGCTGTCCGTCGGGCACATTTTCGACAAACATTTTCGGTGATTGTTTGGGCTGGCATGGTGAACGGTATGCTCATTGGACCATTTATTCTCCCAAATCGATTGGACGGGATGCAATAACTAGACTTTTCACGCAACATTTTGCCTTCCTTGTTAGAAGATGTGCCATTAAGTATAAGACAATCAATGTGGTTTCTGCGTCTGCTCGGTAGCGCTTCAGCTGATTTCATTTTCTGTTGGAGCGGTATGATTTCAGGCAGAGACATACTTAGCCCTTCTCGTCAACTGGAGAGTAAGTATTTTTCCTTTATTTTGTTTTACTTGGTCGCCCTCGTTTCACTACTCATTACCTTTGTTATTTCAAGGGTAGTTGTTTCTGAAAAGGAAAACCCCAACTTTGCGGACACCCTGAGAAAGATTGGTTCTTGTTAATGGAGTCCATTTCGGTTTGAGTGGGAACTGGATTTACACCACAGAGTCCCGCAAACTTGAAGTAAAGAAACGTCATTTTGATTTACCCTGTGCAACAAGTCACTACACACTAATGCCAACGGGTGCAGCCACCGCCTGCCAAAAAATCAATAAAGTCGAGGTAAAAAAGTGACGTTCCGAATTTGAGCAAAATAGTAAAAGCAACTTTCACACGAATACGCACCAACCAGTAGTGCTTATAAGTGAATACCGTATGAGCCACAAGAACACACTTGACCCGGATTAATTGTCATCAAGCTTGACATACGTATTTGCTATTTCATTCCTTTTTCAAATTGAAGCCATATTGATACTATAACTGACAGTTAATTATTTTTCCAGTAAACCACCTGCAAACGACTACGCAAAAGCCAACATCTAGACATCCTCTATTTGGCCTGATGGACGTGTCAGCGTATACGCCTCCTCTAAACTCAACTGTACAAACATTTACTGGACATTCAAGGGTAAGAGAAACGAAAAAAATGGGACAAGTAATTATTTTGTCTTATACCGAGTGTTTCAAATTCAACCCTCACCATTGGAATCTCGGAAACGCCAAGAGATTCGAAGGCGCGTATTTAGCTACCAAACAAAATCTTACTTCGAAAATTATATTATATTTCTTGTAGTCGGCTCTTAAAATAAATTGCTCATTGCACAGTGCCATCAACCTGTTCTTGTTGACGCCATATTAGATTTTTGCACAGATGAATAGAGTTTTTAATTTTAATTCCAAAAATGTATAATGTCTCATACATTAACATTGCCTAACCTTAGTTATATAAAACAAAACAGAATTTCATAGGTAAACCTTGAACTTATCAGAAACATTATCAGTCATTTGTTTCGTATACGGGCATGGGTGTTACGTATCTGGAAAGGTGACATTTCGTCGGTTTTTTTACATTTCGTAGGTTTTTTGTGACATAACGGAGGTTTTTCCACGAGATGTTACTATAACTTAGCACAAGCTGTTATAAACTTGTTGTGAACTCGTTTTGTAGCTATACGTGTTGCCTAAACGTCAGAGAATAGCGGTCATAGCGAGCAACAGGTGGAATGAACTTATTTGCAGACTAAAAACAACCTAGTCTCCTAGATGTCATTTCGTCGTTTTTCTTGTTCTCTTCTACAAGATGACGTAGTCAAATTTTCAAATCGAGGTCTGTTGTTTCGACTTTATCACCAACTGTATTTTTTCATATTGACGATATATTGGGATATTGTACATTTAAATTAATATAAATTAAGTAAATTAAATGAATTAAATAAATTAAAAATAGTAAATAAATTGAATAAACTGTATAAATTACATAAATTGAATAAATCAAATAAATGAGATAAATTAAATAAATTCAATAAATTAAATAGATTAAATAAATCAAAAATAAATTAAATAAATTAAATAAATTAAATAAATTAATAATTAAATAAATTAAATAAATTAAATAAATTAAATAAATTACATAATTAAATAAATTTAAATAAATGTAAATAAATTAAATAAATTAAATATAAATTAAATAATTAAATAAATTGAAATAAATTGGCATAAATTGAATAAAAATTGAAATAAATTGAAATAAATTGATAAATTGAATGAAATTGAATAAATTACATAAATTAACATAACTCAACTAAATTAAATAATTAAAATAAATTAAATAAATTAATAAATTAAATAAATTAAAATAAATTAAATAAATTACTAAATTAAATAAATTACATAAATTAAATAAATTTAAATAAATTAAATAAATAAATAAATTAATAAATTCAATAAATTATAACTTAAATCACTTCAATAAATTAAATAATTAATAACATAAATTAAAGTAAAATTCAAGTACATTAAACACTTACATAAATTAAATAAATTAAATGAATTTCAATTGAGTGACGTATTTCCTTAGTTGGACATCAATTTATTGTTGGATGGAAATCATAAGAAGTTAAAAAGGTACGGTGAATCCCGAATACAAAATGAAAATTATATTGACTGGAATTGTAAACATTTAAATCCTACTAAAGGCCATCTGTCACGATACAAAATTTTGTTCATAATTCAGTATCAAATTTTGTGAAAAAATGCGTCACTGAATACAGTTCTCAATTTTTTACCAATTACGAGTAATCCTGTCTGTCACGTAAAGGTATTTTTGTAACAAATTGCGTACGAAATCATGGGCGATCTGTAACGATAACTGTCAACTTCGAAATGTCTTTTGTCACGTCAAAGTCATTTTAACCAAACTTTTCGTTTCGGCTTGCTACTTTATTCCTTCGAATGAATTGAAAGATTGTACAAAACGGATCAATCCAGTAATTCGCATATATGATTTGCGACTGTGGAAGCAGCGATCTGTATTTTCACTGGCAATGTTCCAATATGTGAATAGAAAGGGTAAAATTCACTCAACTCAAGTCATCGTTGGTGGTCCGTGGGTCCTTAGCTCTTGAGTCATAGTGTCAGTTTGTAAGTCTGTCAGGTCTGGTAACCCAGAAACCAGACAATTTTAAAAAAAGAAGAGTAGGAAAAGAGAGAAGGAAGAACGATACCAAAGAGGAGGAAGACAATATTTTAGGAGAGGGAGCGTTGAGTCATTATTAAAATCACTAGACAGATTTTGATACGGTATAAAAATGTTTGATTTTTCTAAGGATTTTGTCAAGATGTTCCTATTTTGGTTATTCTAAATTCACGAATTAATTTTGATTACAGGGCGAGCCGCGGCCTTTTGTGCTTGCGAACTTGCTCGACTGTGATATAAAATTCACTTTGATACCAAAAACCGAGTTTCTAATGAATTGATCACTCAAAACCTTATCTCCACATTACCTCATGATCATTATGCGGCAATTCACTGGACGTGCGATGAACTGTTAAAAATATATCCTTTTTATTTCCTTCCCTAATCGCGAAAATTTTCGAATACGAGATATTATGTTTTTTGGATGTTATAAGACACGTACATCACGAAAAAATATGTCACTCATTTCCTTTGGTCTGTCTGCTAATCTTATAACCACCTGTAACTTAAAAAGTATCGTATATCCTTCTTTTTGATTGGCCGAATCGGCGTCTAGGTCGCAAATTGTGTGTCAGACCTCGACTGAAAAAATAGGTTTTTGTAGCTAAACTAGGTGATATAATATAAAGTATCTCTTACTTTAGTATGGGAATTAGGGGCCCATCTTACCCAGATTGGATATTTTTTCTCAATTTGAGAGACATTTAACAAGTAATCGACCAAATACATTAGATCTATTGCTTCAAAGATGTCTTCTCAATGGTCAAATTTGTCCCTTAGATGCCAGTTTTGTGTCCCTCTTAGTAAAATATTGCCTTAGGGGCCTGTGTCTCTGTAGGAGACTATTTATAGAAACCTGTGAAATATTGTGTGTGTTATACGAGCACAAGGCGCAACAGAGGGATTATCATTTCATTCTGTAACCTTGAACAAGAAAACTTCATATTCATTTTACTTCCTACGCCCACTGGCGGGCAAGTATTCTAATCGCGAAACTTTTCGATGAAGAGATATTATGTTTTTTTTTTATAGGACATCTACATCACGAAAAGCCGTGTCACTCATTTCCATCGGTCTGACCGCTGATCTTATAACCGGCTATAACTTTCGTATTACCGCTCAGATTACTATGTCACGGACGCAAAGGCTTTATAGCTTTTGAAAATCGGTTCAGTGGCGGCAGAGAAAAAGAACAGAAACGAAAATCGCTCAGACTTCGTTTTTTGACGTTTCAAAGAATCCTGGTTATTTCTAAAAAAAAAATTAGAGGAAAACAACTTGGCAGTGGAGGTTGTAAGTGGATGGGGAGGGTTTATCTCAATTACTTGATGTTAGTATATTTATACGCTCCCCCTTAAAACAAAAATATTCTCAGCAGACGAATCGCGTACTTACCGGTCGCTAGTGCTCCCGGCGGCATGCCACCGGCCTTAGTCGGTGTTCTATTGTTTTGATATGGTATTACACGTATTTCTGCCGCGCCACAGCATAGTGCTCTTATGCTCTGACCGCGTCGCCACGTCTGATCGGGTTATGTATCGGCGAGAGGCGACATTTCCAGATGCACTACCGGTCGAAAAGGGAAAGAATTAATTGGTACTGAAAAAAATCCTTAATGCGTGGCAAGTGCAGAGTCAACTTACTTGATGCCATTTTTTATTAGATCCTTACACACTTCTCTTGAGTATCCTGTGAATCTGAATGCATTGCGGAATACCATGTACTTCTATCGTGTACGAATGACATCCAAATGTAAGACAGCCAATTATTGTCTTTCCCTTTTCAGATAATGATCAGGAAAGCATATTAAACACAATACATGTTGAGCAAAGTTCTATATCTCTCATCGCACACGACTCCACATACGGCTTAGCTTTCGAGGTCAATGATTCGTGTGAAAATTCTTGGCTGCGGAAAAACAATAGTCGCTAAGTACGTATTTTCACACTGAGCTCGGAGTTCGTTCAATTTACCACTTTAATTTGAAAAGTGATATCTTATTTTTAATTTGTATGGGATTATATCTTAATCGCGCTGCGTAACCTCGACATTACATATGCGCTACTTAGATCACTAACGCACCAAAACAATAAAAGCAACCTAGTTTATGCAAAGGCTTAGAATTGGAGGTCATACGAATATACATATAGTCAACGCCAAACAAAGTGGCGTGCACGTCATAAAGGTGGGTGTGTTGAAAAATTTACATTGTTGCCAAACTTTTTGTAAAATAATAAAATTTATTATTTACATATCTAGGTTTATAAGCAATATTAACCTCAAATGAGAACAAAAATAATAGTATAATAAAATTATAGATCTGTACTTGCATAATCATTAAGTATGACAATTATTGATCAGATGACACTATGAAACTACCATATTTAATTGATAGCTTAAAGGTACTGAATAAAAATCCAAATGGGGTCCTCCAAATTTTATGCATGGTATTTATTTTACAGAATTCATACAGAAAAATGCATTCTAAAATTAGGTAAGCTACTGGTGTAAGCTTTTTCTGTACAATAAAGTTAGTCGGAGTTTCTTTCTTCAGCGCTGTCTGAATCTGAATCTTCATCACTCTCAAAGTTGATTATTAAAGGTTCGATGTCTGGTCGATCAAAAATTCGTTCTCTTTCATACCATTTAAAAATTTCTTGCTCAGTATGTCGAACACTATTTTTCCACATGTCTGGGGTAACCGTTTGTAGAGCCTCGTTCCACATATCCAAACAGTCTTTTTCACTGTTACCATCTCTACCAATATGTCTGTTATAGTAACCTTTTGCTATGCCCCAAATTAACTCAATAGGGTTAAATATACAATGGTAAGGAGGCAGACGAAGAACTTTGTGCCCATGTTGTTCCGCCAATTCATCAATCACGTATATTTTAGGTGGTTTGTTTCTAAAAAAGCAGTTATTTTAAGAATAGGAATAAACAAAAGAAATATAAACTGTCGACCAAAATATATATAATTAAGAAGCATTATGTACCGAGCAACAATACTCAATAGCTCTGTTTTAAACATTGTGTTTAAAAATGGTATGTTTTGATTTGTCAACCAGTCTTGGATATTTTTTTTTGTCCATGCATTGTTGGGCACTTTGTTCAATATCATGCTGTGATAAGGGGCGTTATCCAGTATAATCATAGATGGACTCTCCAATTTTTCTAATAACTGATGTTGAAACCATTTCAAAAAATTGTCCTGGTTCATCTCTCCATGGTAATCGCTCAATTTTGTTTTCGAAGAAAATATCGCTTCACTACCCTCAATAAACCCATTTTCATTTCCAGCATGTAATATAATGTATCTAAAATATATTAGTTTTAAATTTTATAGTGCAAATTGTGTAAAAGTACATACCTTTTACCATCTGTTTTAATAGCTTTCACGCTTTTTTGGTTTCCATTTTGCCAAGAGCGACCTATGGTCCCATTTTGAAATATCCAAGTTTCATCGAGGAAGACAAACTGGTATAAGGCCTCAACCTTGGCTTGATTGTATTGCCTTAGAAATTCCACCCTTTTCAAAGCTATACTTGGTAGTTCCATGAGCCCTCGTCGCGGATTGTCCTTAAGCCACTTAAATCAAAGATCTCTAAGCAACCGCCTTAAAGACGTGGCACTACCATCAAATAATGCCCTATCTCTTAATCGAGACCATAAAGTTTGTATCGTAACTTGTTCTTCTGAAACCATGTGTAATATGACATTATAATTTAGTTAACAAATTAATGCAAATTTCTGATAAGTTATTATAATAACATCTTACTTTTGTGATACATATTATAGATCACTTCTCGAATGGCACTTGTATCCAATGTCGCTGTGTTGGTTACACGTTTAATATAACTCCGCTTTTTCTTGGGCGATTCTAAATTTGCATCACTTTTCACACCCTCGGAAATACGACTAACTGTCCTTAAACTAATTTTTAAAGCAGCAGCAACACGCTACAAAAAATGAAATAAAATTTCACTATTATTAATATACATTACATATAATTATTAGTAACCTGCCTCTTGAACAGCATTTAAAGGCAACAAAGGCCCGTTGTTGTCCCTTTCTTGCTCAAAGTAGTGCATTAACGAGGCCACGAGTACCTTACACCGACTATTTAACTGTTTGGGCATCTTTATATACCAAAATTGCCTTTATCTACTCGTAAAATGAATAATTTTGTTTTGAAACAAACAGTTATTGATTTACAGTATGCGGGGCCAAAGGATTTATAAAGATTTGAAATGCCACAAATTGATTCAGTGTCAAAATTAATACAAATGTCAGTTCCCAGTTTAAATAAGTTTCAAGGTGACAATGTGTCAACGCTGCGAAATCGGTGTAGTGCGTTTACATGTCGATAAGTAATTGGAGCGTTTGCAAAACATTTTATTTCGCATAATGCGTCTAAATTTATCAGAAAGCAACTTATGTGATATTTTAATAACAATGTTTATATGACTATTAACCATAATAAGAGAGTAATGACCATTTTACAATTTATATATCACATTAATATGAAACTGCAATAGAGCAATTGTTTGTGATAGAAACCTAGGCATTAGGTCGGGGAATTTTTATCGTGATGACGTGCACGCCACTTTGTTTTGCGTTGACTATATACAGGGTGGCCCATCCATGTGTGAACGGAATATTACTCATAAACAAACACATTTTGGGAAAATCGATTTATGGTATGTTATACATGACATTTGAGCGCACATTTCTAAAATATTGGCCATTATACAGGGTGTCCCAATTTCAACCTACATATCATAATTGTGATTTTTCAAATGGAATGCCTCAAATTTTATTTCATATTTGGATAAACCAATTCAATGGAAAAAATTGATATAACATACTTTGGGGTTTTGGTAATTAACTACTGAGATATTAGGTGTCTTGTCTAGAAAAACCCCCCACTTCGGCAACCCCTCAGTCCGTCATTTTGCAATTTGGAGTGCTGAATTTAGTATCAAAAAAAATTTACACACCTCAGCTTTTATATTATTTGTTACTTTTTTGAATTATAATTGTTGATCGTACAGGGTGGTCAAAAACGCAAATTTTCGTTTTTTCTCAAAAATTTCAAATGCACCACTCCGTATATTTGTGCAAGTTTGGATTCAATTTTTATAAGCTTTATTTTGATACTAGACACAAGGGTTTTTACGGCTATTTTTGCGGTTATTAGCACGTCTTTTATGGAACGGCTTAATTCAATAAAGTATGGCATCATCCTTGGAGACAAATAAATTGTTAATTAGTTACAAACTGTCAAAATTAGCTTTGTGGGCATTATAATAAAAACGTGTTTGAAAATGAATTTTTTTGAAGAAGAAATTGTTAGTGTGGTGTTCGTTTTGGGCGAAGCCCAAATAAATAGTTTCCTAGCATCTCGCATTTATAAGCAACGGTACCCTAATATGCGACATCCAAGGCCGGAAATACTTTCCACACTACGAGAACGATTTGAATCAAGCATAGGTGTTATCAACAAGCATAACATGCACAATAGTATAGCATAATAATGCGACGGAAGACACTGACTGTGTTAGGCAAGTAGATTTCCAAAATAAATGGAGATTGGCCGTCAAGTTATCGGACCTTTCTTTCTCGACAATAGATTAACAGGGACAGAATACTTTTGCCTTTCTTTTCGGAGGATGTCAACCTGCAAACTCGGATGCATTTATATACTTCTAACATGACGGCACACCTGCGCATTATCATAATCGTGTGCGTAACTGTTTGGACAACAATCGTTGGATCGGTCGTGATGGGCCTATATCTTGGCCTCCTATATCACCAGTTATGACACCGATGAATTTCTTTCTATGGGGCTACGATAAGCAAGAGGTTTATAGATATCCACCATCTACCCCGGAAAATATAAAGGAAAGGATTAAGTATGTTTTTCTGAACATCAGAGAACAAATGCTGAGGGATGTGTTACGGTCATTTATTTAAATACTGCGACTGTGTATTCAACATGGTGGAGATATTTTTGAGCAGTTTTTGTAGATTAGGTCTTGAGTAGTGATAGCTGTTTGTTTATGTTGTTATTATAGTTGGCTTTCTCTATTTCGCTTGAAGCTGATTTATACTGTTAGGATTGTTATTAGTGCTTACGTCAAATCTGTACTCATAGTGGCAGTATGGAACTGGCCCACTGTTTGTCTTTTGTTTCCATGGATGATTTGATTTTTTCCTTAATTTTGGTGTGTTGTTCTATTAAAAGCTTGATAACTCAAAATCTAGTGATTTTATCTAAATCGAACCTCATACCAAAAAAAGCTGATAAAAAATTGAATCCAAAATTGCACAAGTATATATAGAGTGAAGCATTTGAAGTTTTTGAGAAAAAGTACAATTCGCGTTTTTGACCACCCTGTATGAGCAAAAATGGAAATTCCGAAAAGTAACAAATAAGATAAAAGCTTAGATGTGTAAGCTTTTTTTATACAAAATTCGGCACTCCAAATTTCAAAATGGCGGATTGAGGGGTTGCCAAAGTGAGCGGTTTTTCTGGACAAAACACCTGACATCTCAGTACCTAATTACCAAAACCCTATAGTATGTTATATCAATCTTCTACTTTTGAATTGGTTTATATGCAATAAAATTTGAGGCATTCCATTTAAGAAATCACAACTTTGATATGTAGGTCAAAATTGTAACACCCTATATAATTGCTGATATTTTAGAAATGAGCTCTTATAACATGCCATTAATAGATTTTCCCAAAATGTATTTGTTTATGAGTAATATTCCGTCTGCACATGGATGGGACACCCTATATATAGAGAAAAAGGATTATGCCAAAAAAGGTATACCTAAAAATAAGAAATAGAAAAATAGGGCGAAATCCGCAAAAAGAAGTAAAGTGGATTCGAGCAGAAAATAGGATAGGTGACCCGAGCGATACGTATTTCTGCTTGTTGGCTAGAAATGAATGCACATATGCAACCACAAAAGTAGATACACATGCCCATACAGCCGTATACGGGTGAAACCTGAGGAAACGAAGATGAGAGGTAAAGAATGATACACGAAGTCCCCAACAAGAGCCAACCTACACATTGTAAGTAGTATAAAATGGCTAGAAGACCTCGATCTTTCAAGGCGACAACTAACCACAACCACACGGCCAGCTATAGCCACTTGCTGTGGTACTTCAAGCGCAAAGGTATATAATAAATAGAGAAATAATGGTCATCTTTTTGGGATATTTATGTGCAATTGTAGTTAATTCAGCAAAAAAAATGAAAAACGATGATACCCCTTAGAGCATTACGGTTTCCATCAAGAATCATCGCCCAAAAAATGTTGTTGGTTTATGTACCAAATACCCATATAAATAGTAATATCTGGATATGCTTAACCAGCTTTTAAGTGTATTTATTTGTTCATTCCTGTTTTACAACTATATGCCATATGCATAGTCTGATCCAAAAAAATCAGTATGATCACGGATGTTTCAAACTCAAGCCGCACTATTGGGATTTCGAAAATGATACGCAATACGGTGTCCGTTATAAGCGGCGCACTTAGTGATTAAACATTTGTACTTAAAAATATTCACAATTCAGAGATAGATCAGAAAACAGCATTTTGCCAAAATAGTTTTCATTTTTTCCTGACATTTGATGTGGAACTTCAAAATAAATTAGACATTTGCGAAACATTGATAGTGCTATTTTTTTAGTTCTCATTTATCAATCTTGTCTCTCTTTCCGTTTCCGAGATTGCAGTGGTGAGAGTCGAATTTGAAGCACCAGGTATACTTGTTTAAAGTATCAAAGACATTCTATGATTCTCGTTAAAGTAAAATCACATGAAACGCGAGAAAAAACTAATATTTGTGTATGTGTATTGTACATTCATCTTTCTTTTACAGGTCGTAACAGTTGTGACACCGTCTTCAGTAACTACGAGTAAAACTGAAATCAAATCAACTACAATAAATTCTACCCCGAATTCTACAGTGTGAAAATTAAAATACTGTACATAAGACATATATGATACGTTTGTATATGTATTTCGGATATGTAATATTTACATAAAAAGTGCAATCTGTTCTTGTACATATAAGATATTATGTGAGCTGCAGGGTGCTATGTTAATGCTTTTGTGACAAGTACTATAGGCAACTACCAAAATGGAAGAGAGCAGTATCATCATACGCATCTTAGAGTCGCGTACGTTAGATCACATTACTCTTTTCCATTTTGGCTGTTGGCTATATTACGTATGTATAAGCCAGCGAAACATGTTTTATATTTGCCAGTAAAAGTGCAAGTAGTCTGTCATACTACTACTCAGAAGTATTAAAAAGTTGTGCGGGTTATGGACTTTTGTGTAAACATATAGTAAAGAATTTCATAGCAGCATGATATCACTGTACATATTTTATTATAGGTTTATGAATATTTATTTTTGTCTATGATTTCTACAATAAATAGTTATTATATTATATACATGATAGTTATTTTGTTTCCTCACATCCTTATTTTTAAGCATGTAACTACTGGTGAAATATGGACACAATATAAGATGAGAATATTGGGATCAAAAAATGGCATTTAAAAGTTTTTGTTATTTCGTGAAATTGGGAATTTTCATAATTTGGTTGACCTGTGCAGTTATACTAAGTGACATATAAATCCGAACACCCAGTTTAAATGGTTTTATTTTAATAAAATTTTGTATAAGTACTTAATGAAGCATAATAAGTAAATGATAAAAATTTCAAAATGATTGCACTGCTTTAAAGCCCTTTGACCTTTAATAATGTGTGGATGCACCCTGATGTGCTACGCATTCTCCAACGCGCCTAGGCATGCTTCTGATCAGGTGGTCAATGTCCTCCTGTGGTATCTCATTCCAGGCAACCACCAACTCCTCTCAAAGTGCTTCTAGAGTCTGAGGAGGACGTTGAAAATTGAGCAATCTCCTACCCATCATATCCCACACGTGCTCAATTGGGGATCAGTCGGGAGATTTTGGTGGCCATGGTAACAATGTGACATCATTATGTTGAAAGAAGTCTATTGTGACTCTTGCAACATGTGGTCGGGCATTATCTTGTTGGAAAGTTGGATCTGCCAGGGTGTCAAGATAGGGTAAAAGATGGGGTTCTAGAACTTCGTGGATATAACGCTGCGCGTTCATGTTACCTCTGATGAAGATTAAAGGTGACCTGGAACCATAAGCTATAGCACTCCAAACCATAACTCCAACAGTGTGATGAACATGTCTTTCAACAAAAAACTGTGGATTCCTCGTTTCACCTCGTCGCCTTCAAACCCTGGCGCGACCATCGTGCATGCCTAAACAAAATCGAGACTCCTCACTAAAGACAATACTGTTCCATTCATGATCCCAGAGTGACCGTTGTCTGCACCACTCAAGGCGATTACGTCGGTGTTCTCGAGTTAAAGGGAGGACCCAGTGTGGCCGGTATGAAAACAAGCCAAGACTTCTCATTCGTCGGTAAACACTTCGCATGCCAATATGTCTTCGGTGTTCTGCAAACCGTTCATTTGCAATAGACCTGGTAGAGGAGAAACGGTCCCTTAAGGCCAATAATCTTAGGCGGCGATCTTCACGGTCTGTTGTTCTACGGCGGCGTCCAGTGCCCCTTGCTCTTTACGTACGGCCTTCTCGAAGCCATGCCTGACAACACCTAACCACAGTGTCTACACGTCTTTGCACTCTAACTGCAATTGCCCGAAAAGAAAGTCAAGCTTCCCGAAGTCCCACTATACGGCCCCTATCAAACTCACTAAGTTGACGAAATCGTACAGGTCTCCGTACTCTAGGCATCGTAACCGATCGTAAAGGATGTCAAGAACCAAAATCCGCCAACGTTGATTCTTTACTGCGGCTGAAATATTCATTTTTAGAGCGTTAGTGAATTAAAAAAGAGCAATATAAAAACCGGAATGTCCAACTGAAAAACTGAAAATTTTTTCGCTTGTTATCTACAGTAAGATAAATACATTCACCAACTTTTATTAAAATAAAACCATTTAAACTGGGTGTTCGGATTTATATGTCACTTAGTATATTTAATTTTTTTAACGTAGATGTGTCGTGTCTTATTTCCGTGGTGTCATGGAGGAAGGAGATCAGTCTATTATTCAGAATATTCTGTGATTTGACTTTAAATATTGTTCTGAAATCGGGCATTTAAATACAGCCTTGAAAGTTTAGAGGTAGGTTAGAAAGAAATAAGTCCTTTTATACGTCAGGACGCAATTTCAAAAAATGTTTATTTAAGAAAAAAAATGGATGTCCCAACAAATTATGACTTATCCCCTTTTTCCCTGGTACCACGGATTCATCATACAAGTTGTGACCAAAAATGAAACATCATACATAGGCCTGCATTTTAAGAGGGGTCTTCTATGTAACATTTTTTACTCGAGGGCTTGTTGAAGTTTAAAAATAAAAACATTTTTTCAAAACCGTCACCTGGAATGAACTAAAATTTGGTATGTGGATTTATCTAAGTATTGTCCAATTTCGAAAAAAACGGGATAATAGCCCGTATTTATAAAAATGAAGCATTTGCTTTGAAGTAAAAGGTACAAGCAAAAGGTAGAAGTAAAAGGTTTTGCTCTAATTCCTATTCATAATCTCTACCTCTTCCTTGCAAGCAAATGCTTCGGGAAAATAAAGTAAAAGGTACGGAGATTAGCGATTTCAACAAGACATGACTTGCAGCGTGCAATCAACGCGTATGTGGTCTGTAACTGATGGGGTTGATCTTATTTGTCTCATAATTACAAGCAGTTCGCACGTCAATTGATGTAAAGAAGATTCATCTAACTTATTTGTGCGGATATTTTAAAGTGAATAAAATATTTAAAATGTCTGACAACGATAGTGAACAGGAAGTTACCGAATATGCCCCTAACGAGATGATGTTTATCGCTGAAAAAGTCCAAGCATTTCCGGATATTCTCGAGAAATCTCAAGTTCCGGCGATGAAAAAGAAGAAAACTGCTGCATTAACTGATATCGTTAAGGAATGTTACTTTATTTGGCAATGAGATGGATATTAAAGCTTTTATGAAAAAACTGAGCAATAGGAAAGCGCGACTGAAAAATAAAACGGACAAAAATAAAACAGAGAACAAGCCCATTCGTCTTTTGTCCTGGGAGAAAATTATGTTAAAGGCTATGGATGCGGGCATAAATCCTGTACTAAGTCTTGTACCAGGTGAGAAATAGGTTCAGGTCTTTACTATTATCTTGTAGGTACTTATCATGCATGTATATTTTTATTAGGGGCTCTTGCAATTGGCGTGGCAAGTCAACCTTCTTTACCTACTTCAAAGGATGACATTATGGAGGAAAACGACGCGATCCTACCCATCGGTTGAAGAGGTTGCTGCAAAAAAAATTCCTCCGAAGCCTACCTTTGCTTCGGGCAAACAAGAGTCTGACGAGACGAGGCAGTTAACGACAACCCAGCTTCAACGATTAGTTTTAGTTGAACAACTGAAAGTTGCTCGTCTCCAACAACAATATTACTCTGCCAAGCTAAAAAAATGAAATGAGGCATCAAACGAAAAATCCCGCAAGAGTATATTGTTGTTGGAGATGATATTTACCAAAACTTGTAAATAGACATTTATAACAAAAAAAAAATAATTAAACGTTTTTTTTCCAGTTCAAACGTGTAAGTTTATTTTTAGTTTAAGTAAATACATCTTTGTACGTTTGAAGTAAACGACATATACATAGCATTACATGAAAGTTTTAATCCTAATTACACACCTATATTGTTATTGGTAATAAGACGAGCTAATTTCTCTCACCGCCTTTGTCCTCGTGCGCGAATAGCATCTACATTTTCATTCTCTATAAATGGCAAGTCCAGTTCTTCATCTTCGTCCTTTTCTTTCTTCTCTTAATTGCCTAGCTATATCGTGCAACACAGCAAACGCAATTATAACTTTTGGAATACTGGTAAGTTTTACTCTGCATCCATACTTCAGGATAGGAAATCTCCGCTTTACTTGCCCAAATGTATGCTCAATCAGAACTCGCTCTGATGTAAGCGGCCTGTTAAAGACTCTCTGATATTCCTCGTGGGGGTCGGTGTAAGGAGTCATAAGACATGACATTATACCATACCCACTGTCCCCTAGAAGAATAGTGTTTCTTGTCTTTTTCATGACTTCACACACTGCCGAATTTTTCCATATACGAGCATCATGAACTGATCCAGGCCAACTTGCATCTATACTAGTTATAACAGAAATCTGGTCGCATGTAACCTGTACATTAATACTGGCAAAACCTTTTCGATTTACATATTCATCTCCAAATTTGGGCTGGTTTTCCATCAAGACGAATATGCGTGCAGTCAATAACTCCAATAGCTGTGGGAAAACGGAACCTGGTCAACTCTTTGGCCTGCATAATTTGATTTTCTGTATTTGGGAACCTGATAAATTATCTGGCTTGTTGTACAAATCGCTCTAGTACGTCATGAAATATTCTGGACACTGTGGTCTGCGAACATCCCAATTCTTCAGCTATTCCGCTCTGAAATCCAAGGTTCGCACGATACCGCAGAAATATTTTCATTTTCTGCACAGGTGACTGGGCTGCTCCACGAGTTTCGAAATCCATGCCAAGAAAGTAATTTGCCAACCACACCACATTTTCCTCCTCAAATCTAAACAACGTCTTGAAATCTGACTCACGAGGTGTATGTCTTGGTTTGTAGTATTTTCTTGTACATAAATGCACCACATTAGCCATAACTAGTTATGGCTAACTAACACAATACTGCGACTAATCAACCAAAGATCACTTAAACAAGCCATTACAAATAGATTTTATTAAACGAAAATGCACAAATTTTAAGATGCAGGCCCTAAGATGCCGGAACAACTAATGATAAAATGAGAAAAGTTGCTGTAACCTAGATTCCTTTTTTTAGAAGCAAATCCTTTAGTTTTTAAGCAAATGCTTCTTTTTATAAATAAGAAAACGTTAACACCTTTTACTTTATAGAAGCGAGACCTTTTCCTTCACTTCTTTTAATGTATATACTTTGAAAGAATTGCTTTATTTTTTGAAAGCAAAAGGTAAAACTTTTTTTTATAAATATTGACTAATAATACTCCCGATACATGCGAGCATGTGGTCGAGCTATTCCTGGGGTAGCACCATTTCTACATAATCTCTCGGAGAATATGACATGATTCTGCTCAGATGCCAAACGTTAGATACAAATTCCGCGCTGGACCATTACCTGGCTTAGGGGAGACCAGGTACAAAAGTAACACTTTGTACCTTTACCTTGATTTCTGGCTGGGTGTTAATGTTGTCATTAAGTTAATAAGCCATATTTAAATTCAGTTTATGTTCTTTAGACCAGTAACTCGATTTATAATA